GATTAAGTTAGCAGTAAAATATGACTCACCGCATTAAGTAGGCTGTAAAAATTGGAATTCCGCCTGCTACAGCAAATACCGATCCAGGTCTGAAAAACATTTGGAAGCAAAGTTTCCCAAATATAAGAATTGATGGAACTCCTAGTGAAAATATTCTGTCAAGGAAACAATTCAGTGCTGCGAAAGAGTATGAGGCGAGATATTTTTAAGTTGCGACCTGATTGAAGTCTAGAGATCTTAGTTATTCTTGGAAAGCAGAAAACTCTTTTCTAGAAACTTAAATGTCATTATTTTGAGAATTTTGAACCTTGCAAATTATAAATTTATAGTCGAATCGAATACTAAATATATTATATAATAGTATTATACAATGTAAATAACTGACAATTGCTAAATTGCCACTTACTGCACTGTTAAATCCTTGGAGTGAGAAAATTTTATTTACTTATTATTTTATTTCAATGAAATTTTTATGAAATGTTTCCAACGTTAAATATTGTAATTTGTTAAGATACAGGGTGTCATGATGGTGGCTGAGTAGAGAGCTAATATCCAATTTAGAGCTACTTCAGAGTTAAATGGGAATCTTTTAAATAAGATAATTAAAAGTAATGTTGATGGCTATAGGCAGTTTTCGAGTATATGTAATTCAGAGGGTACATTTTGTAAAAGTTGCGAAGTTACAGCTGAGAACTAAGGACGAAAATATAAGTTGCAAAATAAATTTAAATAAGAATTGGTTAACAAAGGAACAGATAACAACAGCAGCTTCTGAAATGAATCTTTTAAATGTTAATGAGAGGGAAGAAATACATGCCTCATTCAAAGAAAGTTGACCTGTTTCAGAAAATACTATGTTAATCACCCCCGAAACTGCTATGGATTATAATCTCTCATATCTCTCAAAGCCTTAATATTGCAAAAGACAAATAAGAATATAAGAAATATTTTAGAACGAAACTACGGAGAGCTGGAAAAATAAAGCACAAGTGCCTATCAGTTGTTCCCTGTAGATTAACTGCAACATAGATTTAAATGATTATATGGCATAACATTTTATGCTGGGCTATTTGAAATTAAACAAAATAACAAAAATCTGTTTTTTTTATTATTGAAGAGATAATTAAAACTGTTAAATTAATGGATTGAGAAAACATCAGATTTGATATGTGGCTGTTATCATATTGCAATGAAGCCTGAAGTGTGTGTATGTGAATTCATCAATGACGGTATGCATTTTTCAAATTATTTTTCAGACAGCAGGGCTGCCACATTGTGGAGATCGATGGATGTTTTTCTGAGGCGGTCAGGTGTCAAACAATATTCATTTACCTTGGTACTAGTGAAATTCTTGACCAGAACCTGCAGGATTTGTGTGAAGTGTTCTTGCTGTTGAAAGACGAGAGCTTAAAGGCAACAATTTGTGCGAAAGGAATCTACTTATTAACGTTATAGAATAACCCAAACCGTAATAAATTAGGAATGAATCCAACTTGAAATAGTCACACACTTTTCACGTTCAAAACCGCTAGGAAGTACAGGGGTTAGGCCAAATTTGGCGGTTTCGTTGTTAGATAATGATGGATAATAATTGTTAGATAATAATTAATATGGAAATATTACTTTTCGCTGTTATGTAATGATTTTATTTCGGCAACCTTATAAGGTATTTCTCCCACTTTCTTAGCGTGCCTTCGTGGTGTAATGGTAGCACGCTGAGCCGGTATTCCAGAGGTCCGTGGTTCGATTCCTGGCGAAGGCGGTTGCATATTTTTCATCTTTTCTGCTTCCAATTAACCTAATGACTCTATCCCTCTGCTTCAGTAACACAGCGAGAATTTACGCCTCCTTGAACAAAATCCAACATTTCGGAAAAGCTAACTCCATTTTTGAATGTACGAAGTCAGATCACAAATCAAAATACCGATTTTTATCCGCCACATTAATGTGTGAAAGCGCCACCTATAGGTGAATTGAATCGCGGATAGAAACCCAGTACAATCCAGTATATCGCAGTATCGTAGACCAAAAGTGGTTTTTTCTAGCAAATCGGCTGTGTCGAATGTGTCCGTTAGCTCCGATATGTTCCAGTGTAAATGTCGCTATAGAGGTTAGAACTAGTGTAAAACCCGTTAGTTAATGATATCGCGATTGCAATCGTTGAAGGCACCCGTTGTATTATTTATTCTGATAGTAGTAGTGCCTGAGAAATAGCACGACCGCTGAATTTGAAGCTTTAAGCAGAATGCTATTCACTTCTACCCATACAAGATAAGCGGCGTGCTGGAATTAAAAACACAATGATTATTGTTGTGCCTCTCAAATTTTACGAGAATAAGCCTGGCAACAACTGTAGTAGAAAAAATTGTGCATAGCTTGAATGGCAACAGCGGATGCATTCCGTACTTTTATGTTTTTGGAAGGCAGCCAATTCTTCTTGCGATTTTATTGCGTTACGAAATTGAGTTTTTGTTTGGACGAAATGACATCCGCTGCGGATATTAGGGATATTTATCAATTTGGTGCGTTTTAGAAGATGAGGACCCCTAAGTTTGCGGTATTTAAATTACAAATGTTTTCTCAAGTTTAGAAAAATTATGCTGGGCTTATTCTTGTTGTTCAAAGTGAAATTTTATGTTATTGTGGTTATATATAATTTGCAAATATGAATGCGAATAGAATTCCATTAAATGCATTAACCCCTTGGCCTACAGGATATCTGCCAATTGCACTGCACCGTGCCTTTTAAGACGTCTCGGGTGTAATTATAATTAATTGATCAGTTGACAAAAAAATTGCATGATGGGTACAAGAGATTTTAATTCTTTATACAAAATTATATTTGAAACGTGTGAATGTAACGAAGCTTTACGGGGAACTAAAGTAAAAGATCATCCAGTTTCGTCAGAAACAACTGAAAAAAACAAAATACTGATGTTGCAATCAAAGGAAAAATAGTCAATGTAGAATAATTCCAATCACTTGTCTAATAATAACACGCGGCATTTCATGCACAAATTCCTCACCACGAGTCGGACTCGTGGCTTTTGTTTATGACACAAATTCTTTACCACGAGTCAGACTCGTGGCTTTTGTCTATGGCACAAACTCTTTACCATCAGTCAGAATCGTGTGGCTTTTGTTTATGGCACAAATTCTTTACCACGAGTCAGACTCGTGGTTATAGGCCAAAGAGTTAAAAAAATCTGGAATGGTATTTAAACTTGCAGATATTTAAATTTGACGAGTCTATATTCTGTGGAGCCAGTTGCAGTCAGGCGTGAAAAGTAAGAATTTTTTCTCACGACATAAGAATTATTATAAATGGGTGCCATTTGCTCTACCAGGATGAAGGTTGACGATGCTTGGCCATGGAGAATTCTGTGGGAAGATCAGCCCATTTTCACCTAAATGGAACTGTTAAAACTCACAATTCTCGAATCTAGGCATCCGAACAATACCGTGCAGTTCCGGAAATTCCACTGCATTCACCAAAAGTAAATGTTTGGTATGGCTTCACAGCAGGATTCTTCATCGGACCGTTCTATTCTGAAAACATTGTTTTGAAAGGACTACACACCCATACCCTTACCACTGTAAAGGTATGAAATGTTAACTAGTTTTTCTCATTCCAGAAATTCAGCAGAAGCAGTTGCTGTAACATACAATTTTTATACAGGATGGAGCACACCAGCACATTGGTCTATCGGTACAGTGGCTATAGCACCATCGTTTTACATAAGAAAAGGTCGTAAGTTGCGTTTTCCCACTTGCATGGCTGCCTCTCTCTCTGAGTCTAACCACATATGACTTTTTCTTTTGGTATTGTTTGAAGGTCAAGGTCTGTCTTAGTGGGGTCCCAACTGCAACAAAGTTAAAGAATTATACATAACATGCGCTGTGCTGAGTATTCCTAGTGACATGTCACGTTTGACCATTACAAATGTTACAGGATGTAATCTGCGATCCACGAGAAGGTGGTCACCCTGTAAGAGGTCTATGCCTTCATTGAGGAAGTGTTTTTACTGAATAAATTGCTATGGTGCACTGAAATAGAATCCCTGTTAACCTTTGGGACAGTTCATTTGCTGCATTAAAGCAGTGTTGCATTTCTTTTTTACTGATTTGTCCAGACTATAACAGAACAACTGTGTAGACTATAACAGAACAACATTTTCCCCTATCAGCAACTTTGGAATCACTTTACAGAATCTTTTTCGCACGTCATCCTAAGTCCCACTACCAAATTTGGTGGCATTTCAGTTGATAGATCGAGCTACAGATAACTCTGTGAAGTGTCACTTCAAAAAACAACCTTACATGAATATAACTGCGCAGCATTTTAGCAAGTGTGTGTTCTCTTGCAACAAGTGTCCTAAAACCGCAATACATAACCAATATGTAAGGATAACCAAGGGCAATTTTCTATTATGTCTACTATTTCTTACATATGGACATAAAAGCTATCCTAATAAATAATTACTCTGCATGAGATATGGTGAAGCTTTAAAACATAAAATTTCTTTCTGCAGTGGCTGTCCTTATCACAGATATAGAAGTCCATGACATGTAAAGCAGTTTATAACGCTAATGATATTTTTGTTCTACCATCTACTACAGAGTAAGCTCCTATCTAAACTGATGGGAATAACCTACCAATCATACATATAATGAGTCAAATAACATTAAAAATTTGCCATTATCACTTTGCAGTCAGCAGGCTTCACGAATGAGAAGGTAATATTTTGAAATGGAAGCCACTGGTGCTCACAGTGACTGAATTAAATACAGCAGCACAATGCAAATCAAACTTAATTTAACTATAAATTCTGTGTCTGATTGATTCAGAAAGTATTCTAAATAAAATTCTGTATGCTTACAAAGATTGCGATATTAACTATTGTTTAATCTAATAAAGTGCTAACTTAATTTGAAACTGATAAAGACTTGAAAAAAATTTTGCTTAAAAAGCAGTATAAAAGAAAGAAAGAAAAATAATATTCTATTATTTAAAGAACAATTTTATTAGTATACACATTACATTAAAATAATATTTTAGAAGCATTTTAAGTATATTATATTTATATACAATTAAGCTCAAATAAATACATCTCTATTATAGCAATTAAAAGAAGCTCTTCAGAAACTAAATATTTTTTTGAGAAAAAAGCTAACATTTGACAATTTCAGTACATGCATAGATATAACATTTCTTCATTGAAAAATGAGCTTAATAGAGAACATTTGTTACATAATGCTAAAACTGCCATTCAAATTTGCTGTATAACAATCACTGGTTTGATTCTGAATACAGGGGCATGGCACAAATAAAAGAATGTGACTGAGTATCACAGTTCTTATTAATCCATAAGCCAGAGCCTCGAACCAAAACACAACGATGCTTAATTTCTCTGTTGAAGGATAAACGTGGAAACCCCTTTTTCCAATTAAAAAATCGAACATGAGTATGGTTTCTGTAGCTCCATTCATTTGTTTCCGTCGAAGCATGTAAACCTAGAAAGATAACACAGTCACATTAAAAATACAAATAAATACAAGCAATAAATAAAGAAATTTGAATAATGCGTTCATAGCAGACAATTCTCAAAGCTGAACAAGGCTAAAAAAGTAACTGGAAGTAGCAAGTCATGATATCACTGGTTAAACTTAATCATAGTTTTATGCACCTAACTAATAATTAAGAACTTTACGTGATTAAAGGTCCTCGTAATAAGCCCTCTTAATGATTAAAGGCCCTCGTAAAAACTTTTCAATGGTGAATACTTTGATAAGTAATAATTAATTAATAGCAGAATAATTTGTAACGGAATATTTCACAGCTCTCCTTTGCCCGAATTTTAAATTATAATAAACGCTCTTTATTTTGCGAAATTTCAAAAATATCACCTAATTGTTAAGGTCTTTTAAAATGTAAAAATATCACAGCAATAACTGATACAGCCATGCAAATATGCAGCAAAATACACCAAACTTATACATGAACAAATCAGCGAACTGATATTGTGTCTTGCTGCTCCAAGAAAATCGCACAGTTCACACCACACTGAAAGATACATTCTATGGGGTACCAAAACCTATGTCTCATCTTTATATTCTCTGAATTTTTAGTCATCGGAATATCATTACTTTTTCAGTACTTGATTTTATGCTTGCAAAATGTTTCATCAATAATTCATCTATCTACCAAACGGCTGAAAAGTTCATCACTTTACAAGATACTTAATTTCTCAAGCACGACATAAATAAACTATTTACTTACTGACTGCAGAACTCTATTGCTTCTGCAGAGTATTTCGCTAAAACAGTGAATAAACAAGTTTACTGCTTCCTTTTTCTATTCTCCTTTCCCAGTACTCAATAATTTAGCATTCCATGGGCAAAAAGCACAATACCATAATAAATCTAACAAAACTGTCTAATCATATAAAGACTAAAATTAAATTTCTAATTTAACTGTCTAAGAATGATCAGAAGAAAGTGTATATTGATATGTATACCATGTGCATAAAAGTCCTTACAGGATCTTTAACTTGGCTCACCAGTGGCCCGGCGTTAAAGTTGCTGAACATTGAAGCATTTATTCATTAAGTAAATGCCACTGGATATTAAGCTTAAAAACATCAGTTGTTGCTGAGAGGCCAAGCTACCTATCTTATAACCCATAATGCTCTTGATTCCGACTGGAAAAGCTGCACGTTTTCTCTCAATCAATAATAAAAGATACAAATGCATAAAGAAAAGTTAAAAAATTTAGCCTTACTTAATAATATCAAATTTTCATTTTGTGCGGATGACTATTGAATAAAGATTGTGGAATACCTAAAATTGGAAGAATATTACAAGATATTTTCAAACTGAAAGAGCTGGTTTTTTGGCATCTGGCAGCTGAAACGGGAAGAAGAGACTGATGATGTAGTTGGGTTCGCTTGCTTTAACTTTGAAAGTGTCTTATTCAGACTTCACTTTCATAAGTTTTTTTTTTTTTTTTTTTTAAATCAAAAAGCTTTGAAGAACTGTATAGCAGAAAATGTGAGCTGAGATTTTAGCTCATGAAATTACATGTATTTATATTCAAATTAGTAATGTAGCTACCGCAAACTAAACTTCAACTATATCATGCATAAACATTCGTTTAAACTGATTTTTAAGATCGCATATACATTAAAGGTGGCTCATTGTTTCACAATAGTTTTTAAATATATGTGAATAATAAGGCATCGACTATAACCATTGATAAATTTCTACATTTATGAAGCATTATTTTTGGGCAAAAATACCACAACTAATGCTTTTGATGTTAGTCATAAAATAATTTGCATTACAGAAATAGTTAAAAAAATATGCAAGCACATTTTCAGAATACAGGCTTACATATACCTGGTTAAAAATGAATTAATGCTAACAATAGATTTCATAATTCATCAAAACAAAAATTTGGCTTCTTTTATTTCTTTGCTTCAATTAGCCCTGAAAATGAGTTTTAATCAGATTTTTATAAGCTTTTGCTATGACTATTATAAAAGCAATATTACAGATCATTACATTATTATGAAGCATCAATTACACATAAAATAATGAAAATATTTTAAACTGGTATTTATATACTTTTCCATGCATATGCATGCTAAGGCTGTCCTAGTAAGCTTTTTGTAAGTCTGCTCTAGTAAGTTTTTCCTAGTCACAGGGTTCGTACACATTTCCTTACATGAAAATTAAGGACTTTTAAGGACCATCAGAGAAAAAAAAATTAAGGACCTATCAGCAAACAACAACAACAAAAAAAAAAAAAAAAAAAAAAAAAAAAAAAAAAAAAATCGAATAGAATAAAGCAATTATCCATTTAAGAAACTAACAGAAGTGTGTATTATGCACTATTATTAAATTCAATTTAATACTTAACATAAAACAATTTTGAAAATTAAACTAACTCCCTACAAGTTATGAAATAGATAACATTAAATTAAGAACATAATTTCTTGAAAAACATGTATAAGTGTATTTTACACTAATATATCTATTATTAATAGATATTTTAGAGATTTACGTGATTATTATTTAACTTATTTGATATTTATTTAAACACAGTCAACTACTATTATAATTGCAATGTAAGAATATTTTGCAGATTAAAATAACAGATTTGTAAACATACAATTTATTTCTTTGGTTTTTTGAAAGATACTAGAATAATAAACTATACAATAAAAGATACAAAACATTTATACTTTTTTAAAATCTGAAATTTTTTCAGATATTTTAACATCTAATTTATTTATGTCTATTTCCTTTTCTTTAACTATTCTTCTAAGTTCATTTGTTTTGATAAACAAATCAATGTACCTGCTGGTCTCGGCTTCATCTGCTAAAAGCATCTATCGAAGCTGCTGCTGATCTCATTTCTTTATTAATTTCGATATTAAGAATACCTCCAGAAAGCATCTATCGAAGCTGCTGCTGATCTCATTTCTTTATTAATTTCGATATTAAGAATACCTCCAGAAAATTTTATGTAATCAAATACTGTGCATTGAGAAATGTATGATGAGTCACTTAAATTTTCAATTTCAATTGCTTTATTTACAGAGAAGCCCCTTTCCACAGAGGCCTGTCCATGTGACAAGATAAGAATCATTTTCACTATTTTCCATATTTTAGAATAGTGAAAATCATGAAAATAAGAAGTGAGAAATGTGTCAAGAGATAGATTTTGAGGATCAAAAGTAGAAAATTCATGTAAATTTGTCTTAACTACTTTGTCTAGAATCTCTCTAAACTGCAGCAGAATTTCATCACAATTATCTTGTAAAACACGTTTATTCCGCGTTAATACCATTAGAACTATTTTCATTTTGTTCTGGGTTTTTCTGGACTTTTAGCCATCAACTGTGGGTCTATACAAGATGCATTTCGAATAAGAGAATAATTTATTGGACATTTAGCCATTAAGTGTTATACCATTGTTAAGACACATTGTTGACCTTCTTGTTTCAATGCAAAATTTGCAGCTCATGAAATGTCCTTCTTGCGGCAGTTATCATTCATTAACTGCTCAGCAATGAATCCCAAATAAACTTTACTTTTATTATTATAACAATTCAATTTTCTGCTTTAGTTATTTTTGAATATTCTAGTTTCAAAATTTTAAAGTGTTAAAAGCAATCATTTACAAGTTTTAAGATATCTTCAGCAAAAAAGGGAATAAGTGGTTTATCGCTTTGATAATATTCAAGGAAAGGGAATAATATTTTCGACAGAGAGAGAAAAAATGTAGGTACTTTTCCGTTTTGCCGGCGCAAGCGATAAAGTCGCCAATAATGGTACAACCGATGCCAAACGGAATATTCTCGCTGGTAACCTTTTACACCTCATTCAGATAGTTCAGTTTTATGTCTAAGGCCATTTTCGGCAATTAAATCAATTAGGATGCAATCACAGCGCTTACCCGAAGCCGAAAATATAGGAAAGGTAAAGTCAAGGGTTAAATTCATCAATTCTAATGAGAATGCATTAGCGAAGTAAAGCACTGCAGTTTTACATAATTTCTGAGTAAGCTATTGGTACGAATTGAAGTATTTCTTGCATTTAAACTTGTGTTCCAAATTAAGATTTAACTTGAAATTAATGTAGATAATTACTGAGAGCATTATATTTTTGTAGAGTAGTATACGTGAGATGAGATCGCTTGGGGTCACGTGATATGAACCGGCGAAACAGGATGTTGAACCATGAAAGCATAGTAAATTCTTAAATTAATGTCTTTTTATAAATTTATTGTCTTTATTTATTGGCTTTTTATAAAATTTTAAGCGATATTAAAATGTTTATGCCTTCAAAAAAAGAATTCTTAGGACTAACAGTTTTTTTAATATTTTTTGTGTGTATAATGTATGTTGTCGCCAATAAAGTCTGCTTGGCGAGATTTGCGCCGGCGAAACGGAAAAGTACCAAAATGGTAATTTTATAAGAAATGTTTTATCCTTAGTTGCCTCCAAAATATTTGTGAAGGATTTCAATGAATTTTTTTTAGACTGCCCCATTTCAACTTTTTTAATGTATAGTAGCAAATCATCCCATATTTTAATGACTCTTTCAACTGCTGGGACATTTTGCAACCATCGGTAAAAGCAGAACTTCACAGCAGAAAATTTTAATTAAAACATTATTTCTTTATCTATCAGATGATGGAGCAAAGATAAAAATTCTGCAATAATTGTTTTTATTGTTAAACAAAAATGTATGAATTTTTCTTACACATTATATTTTAACACTTAAAAAAATGTACTATATCGATAAAAAATTGCGACATCGCGAAATATTCTAGGCAAGCATTCCTGCAGAGATTCCGTTACATTGCTAAAATTGCCATAGGAATGCTATATTGGCAATACCATGAACACGTTTTTGTTGGCAGTGGTGATGAAGGTGACGAGCCATTTGTGCTACGGTGTGGCCTAGCTTGTACTCATAAAAGTAGATTTGCAGAAAATCCCGTT